CATTTCGCCCGGCGAATCTCGAGCGCGCGGGAAGCGCCCGCGAGTTAATCCTCCGCGTCGCGACATTTTCCGCGCAGTCGTTGGCACCACTGTTCTCCTCTTTCCGCGGGAATCGCCGGACGTGCGCGCGACGACCCGCGAGTGTACGCGATCCAGGAGATTGTCGGAGAACGAAGTACGTTAGTGGCCGCGTCGGTTACGGATCGGCGGGGCATTGATGGACCGCGCGAGAAAGAACGAAGAGCGAAGGCGTCGCAATCCGAGAGCGCGTGCACACCTCGTGAATCCTCGAGGCTCGGAAACGACGTTTCGCCGCCCTCCGCGCCGGCTGCGCGCGTGATATCGCGCGTAAGTTCGTTCTTTCCGCTCGGCGTTCGACGTACCCGTGCGACGAAAGTGACTCGGCATCTCGCCCGGCGAATCTCGAGCGCGCGGGAAGCGCCCGCGAGTTAATCCTCCGCGTCGCGACATTTTCCGCGCAGTCGTTGGCACCACTGTTCTCCTCTTTCCGCGGGAATCGCCGGACGTGCGCGCGACGATCCGCGAGTGTACGCGATCCAGGAGATTGTCGGAGAACGGAGTATGTTAGTGGCCGCGTCGGTTACGGATCGGCGGGGCATTGATGGACCGCGCGAGAAAGAACGAAGAGCGAAGGCGTCGCGCGATCCACTCGGGGCGGAGGCCGTCGGGACGAAGTGAATTGCGGGCCGTTTCGTCGCGCCGTTCGCGCACGATCGCACGCTGCGCCGTGTCGGGATTTGAACGGAGAGCCTGCAATCGGCGACCGGCCGCAAGAGCTGGTGAAATTCCCGCGAGCGAGAGAGAAACGTGGGCTCGCTCACTCTTCTACCGTAATCGTAGGGGAGCGAGATGACCCACGTTTCTCTCTCGCTCGCGGGAATTTGACGAATCCTTTGCGGCGTCTCCGATCACGGGGCCTCTAGATTTGAATATGGCCGTTTCTCCCGTGAGTCGTCGCGTTCCGGTGTCGAGTGACAGTCTACCGCCGATTCTTCGCGAACGGAGAAAGAGGACCGAGTGCGCGAGTGAGTGTCAGTGTTAGTGCTTCTTCGAGGGAAACCAACGCAGCCGACCGTCCGAGAGGACAGCCTGAGAGGAGGAGGAGGCCAGGGGGCATCAGGCACCGGCGGAGCAACCTTGCGGTACTTATCTTTCATTTTACACAAAAGCGATCTTTCTCGCCGCTTATTTTCGAGCCACTGTTTCGCACCGTAACGCAACAATCGGAGAGAAAGAAATAACTTGAGATTCTCGAGGGGGGAAACCGCTGAGGGCATTGTGGTGTACAGATTCGCGGCATTACTGGGCACTTTTTTGGGCATTAGACTCCTGGTGAAAATAGAACTTGGAGCGTAAATCGAACGTAAGGGGAGAGCGACACAAGCGTAAACGAAATGTGTAGGAAGCGTAATTTGGAACAGCGAGGCGTAAAAGAAGCGCTTGAGGTTTCTTTTACGCCTCGCTGTTCCAAACTACGCTTCCTATAACACATTTCGTTTACGCTTGTGTCGCTCTCCTCTTACGTTCGATTTACGCTCCAATTTTTATTTTCACCAGGGACCTCACTGGGGCATTGTAAAAATAAAATGAGATAATAAGAACAAGTAATGTCCGCGGGACATCAGTGGGCATTGGTGTATGTACAAGATTTTGGTCGGCGGTTTCCCCCTCGGAGATTTTTATTAAAGTTCGTTTCTGTACGGTGTTTTTTAAAGGCGCTTAACGATTTAAGAACAAATATCCAATTGAATAGAAAATTCACCGCGCGTAAGAATTGTATTTTGAAACTTGGTTTTTTTAACACTGTTTTAATGTTACTTTTATGTTTGTGCATTACAGAATCATCGTAGCGACGATGCAGTTATAACTTCGCTGCTGCGCGTCGGACTGGTGAGCGATAAATTAATTTTTAATATTGGGGTAACGGATCTGCGGAAATTTTATTAAATGTACATGCTAGCGATGCGTATATGTATCAGTTAATAATGTAAAGATATTATTGTAAGTAGAAGTATAAAGTATTCCGTACTTCCGTTGCCTTCAAATGTAATAAGTTAAAAGAGATTGGGAGAAATTTAATCCTGGAACAATTAGATATATTTCGTTGCCTAATTTATATATGTTTATACAATAAGAACGTACTAGTGTGCATACACATTACGTACAAAGGAAAAATGGAGAATAAATGAGAATATGTAATATCTGTTATTAATTATTTCAATTGACAATGTCATTTAGTTGATTAAAGTTTATTTTATTCAGAAAATATGTACATTACACAATTCTTGAGAAATATAGCGACTAAAAGATAAAAGATGAAAGAAAATTATAAAAATTAAAACATTGACTTTTTAAAATTTGCTACTGTTATTTGAGACAAATTATTTGTTATTACTTCTCACATTTCATTCTCCATTTCACTAAAAAATCTTTTGTCCAGGATTACATTTTGTATAAGTTAGTGCAGAAAAGGAATATATACATGATATATAAATATTCCTTTCTAAGTGGTATTTTTAATTTACATCATATTTCTTTATATACGTTTGTATTGTAATAATTCAATTACAACAAATATTTTAATGTGATATATTTCATAGAATTTATTAATCTATTTTTATAAAAAATACTTATGGTTACTGAATTATCATTACATAATTTAAAGCACTAACTTTAGCCTAAACTTTTCTAACTTATCCATATGTAGTGATTGTTAACTGGATTGTATACCAGTTAGTAGTAATATATGACGTGAGATCCAATATATATTTTGTTATGAAAGAGAAGACTTTTTTTCTAGAAATTATCGATCGGTTTCGAGTCACTCCAAAATATTTGATTTTTAAATTAAGAGACGAAGAGCTATTTTTATTCATTCAATAATTCCAATTGGGAAATTTGTATTATCTCTTTCGGATCTTACGTTCATTCATCTGAATGCCTCATCTCTGCATGCTTTTGAGATGAGATTCAGAAACGAATCGTTCGAATCGATGAAAATACGCATATGGGCCTTAGATTCTATCGGATGACGCGTCTAGCAATTTTCATTCCTTTAATTCCAAATTCCAAATAAATCCAAATTAAACTTTCGTTGTTTTTTACCTTATCAAGCTTCAACGTTTTGCGTAAAGTTTAGAATCGCGATCACTTCGAATCAAAACGTTACCGATATAGAGATTTTTTTAAATATTTCGTATATATTTTTAATTATTGGATTACGTACCTACTTTGATTACGAAGAAACGCGTATAAAGAATAAATTCATGATGGAATTATTATTGTCATTTCTTATTGTTAATTCCGTACTTAATTGATTTAATCCAATTTGATGGCCCCTTCGCGACGCGTTCGTGTTTCGCGCATCATACAAAGCGTAGAATCTTACGCTTATTGCTGGCTGTGATCAGCCGGCAGCAGAAGGAGTAATTCTCCTTGCTGTCGCTTTCTGGCTATATGAAGTCAGAGTATTGGCCAGCTAAAGATGAATTTGTCTGGCCAGATGAAAACGAAGTAAGTCACACAAGGTAGGTTGGTGTACGTATAACACCAATCGAAGTAAAAGGTACAGGTTTGCCTACAAGGCATTCTTGAATAAGGTCTTTTGCATACGTGCGATTGCACGTGATCGAAGACGGAAATATGCCGTCTCGAGTTAAATCTCTATTCCCAATAAATTAAATTCCTAAAAAAAACTCCCAAACGGTCGCGATTTAAAACCAAATTCGCTATTCTAAAATTTCGGGTAATCGCGTTTGCAACTAAAAGTATTTATATTAAAGATACGGTAGGAATATTATGTAGGTAGGTAGAAATACGGGTAAAAAGCAGATAAACAATTATTTAGCGATGACTAGAAAATTACTTAAACATTTTTGTCTTCATACATACAAGATTGCTTAGTTTACATCGGATATGATTTTATCCGACAAAAACTGATCAACTTGTAGAGGCCTTCCACCCACCACCTCCGCCGATTTTTATCGGCGGTCCTCTTTTCTTAAAAAGAATCTCCCAGTAAACATCGAGCATCAGTTACATTGCATTTATGTTACAATTTTTCACTCAACAATGTAAATGTAATATAACACATGTGTGATTGAGTGAAAAATTGTAACATAGATGCAATGTAACTGATGCTCGAGATTCACTAGGTTATTATATTTTGTTATTAATGTTATATGTATTTTCCTTAAATTATGTAGTAATATTTTGCGTTAAAAATATTAAAACAATGTAATAGTAATTATGTTATCGGATGTGTATGAATAAGACGGAAATCGAAAAGTAATTTAAAAAATATTTAAAAATTTTCGCTTTCCAAAAAATTGTTAAATGCAAAAATTCTCAATTTACAATCCTAAATATTGCGCAAACATTACGTATACGTAAACGTACATATGTATAGACATTATCGATTGTCGACATAAATTTTTCGATCATTGGTACAAATATATCGATATACCATATATTTTATGTCGACATTTCTGTCGACGATTGATACATTTATATTGATAGTCGATACTATCGCTACTCTGCAATTATTGCACAGATTAATAGACAGATCGCCAACTGCTCGGACTAAATCGGGACTACCACACACTTTGCACCTTACCGACAGTTTTGCCCCTAGATACGAGTCTGGACTAAATATAACCGATTTTATCGGCAAATTTTGCCTTTTGGTGCGAGTCCGGCTAAGTATAGGCAATTTTGTTGATAAAAATCGGATATATTTTGTCCAGACTCGCACCTAGGGGCAAAGTTTGTCGGTCAGAGGCAAAGTGCGGTTGTCTCGACTTCGCCCGAGCCTTTGGCGATTTGTTTATTAATTTGCGACAATACTGGTTTTATAATTATTGTAATTTATTCCGAGTCGATGGTTTTTAATTTAGTATCTCATTGATGATGACATATTTATCATTTATAATAATAATTTATGATATCTGCGCGGAGTATAATATGCATTTGTACGTTACCTTTCGAAGATTAGGCTGTCCTGTCGGTAATCGCATACGTTGCAAGTGCTGCACTTTGACGATAGGTCCGTTTCTCCATCGGTATCGTCACATCGATCTTGATCCTTCCGATGATCTACGACGACGTTCCACGTTCGGTGGATAAGGTAGAACAGATAGAGCGATTTGCCTCTTCCGCAGGGTTGCGATCTCGCGTTTCCCATTGTTGTTTATTGTCGAGCCTTACTTTTCACAGTTTATAACACAAGTGCACAATACCGAACTAAAAGCAAACGATTAAGAGAAAAAATTTACTCGACTACACTGTCTTCTTCTCACACTTGCGTAGTGTATCACGGTTCTGCATAATGCTAATTAAACTACGTGTCCATCTCTTTTCAAGTCAACCGCGCACAGAACTTCTTAATTTCCACACTCGGTGCACTTTGTCACCACTGAGAATGAGAATATGCGTAAGCAGTTTCCCCGAGAGATATACTTTTTCCGCGTTATATGTAGCGCGAGGATCGCGCGAAGATCGGCATGACCGGTCATCGGGACCGTGAGATTCTGAACTGCACGAGTCTCGCGTGCCACGACCCCGGCCTTCAAGTCTGAGTCGTGTAACAGCTTAAGTAATAGCTTATGTTTTCCTCCTCGGACGGTGTGGAGAACTCGGTAGACGAGTCTTTGCAATTTGAAACTGAATTTATCATTTGTTTGTTATTCGATTTACTTAACACGTTTGTCGCTAGGTTTTGAGAGCTTTCATTTCTGGATTGTATCTATGTCATCTCAAACAAATTAAAAGTAATAATTACTCGGGATCATTAAAATTTAAAATCGTGCACTACTTATGTGCAATACTTATGTGCAATACTTGCGCTACGATGTTTTCTTTCCTAATTTTCCGGTACTAATAGAGCTTCTACTTTTTGGGGGGATAAGAATAGAAATCAAAAATATGACTGTCGTGTTTATGTGAAGTTTTATCACACCTGCCTGTCGTGAGAATTGTTTTACAATATTTCATATATTTTATATATTAACACAAATGTGTTAACTTGATTTTCAATATAAATTGTGAACATCTCAATTTATTTTGTCCCTTCAAATGTCTTATTAAATATTTATATCTCACAAATTTATATACAACATCGGAAATTTCAATGATTTTTCCACTTCATGCCAGTATCTTGCTTTACTTCCCGTTCCAATTGTTTATTCATTACGAATGAACGTTGCATTAAATCGCGAACGCGCACGGCCCCGCATATTGCTCCATTACCCGGCATTGCTCGTACGATTCTGTTTACACTTGCGTAATTACAGGTCGAGGCAAGAACTCGAAAGTAGCATTTATAGAATGAACGTTGCGTACTGTGCACTTCTTCAAATGGCGAGGGGATTAAAACGCGATTTTACGACGCGACTTTATTAAGATCTCGTCCCGTACAACGTCCGTAAATTATACGCACGACATTCACGTGGGAATGTTTTATGTGAGATGCGTATCTCCCATTCCAATAAAAATCTATTTATAAAATCGTTCCCTTTAAAATTACTTTAATCGGCATTTTCTTCTTTCACTTTTATATCTGTCTCTCTTTCAGTTTCATTATTTATGCCTTAATCTTTATTCACTAAATTTATTCATTCGAATATTTTATTTACCAGCTACTTATACTAATCATGTAGAAAAATTTACTATAGGCTCTTAATTATGTATAAAATATATTTTGTATTTTTTTCTTGTATAATCTCTATTCGTACATATAAGAAAAATAATAAAGAGAATAATGTAGATGACGCATGGGTTATTATAAAAACGGTCTATGAATGAGTTTCAAAAGTTCAAGTTCCCAACCGTAGCTCCACGTAATTAAGCCTCGCAAAGAATATATATGGTTGCAGTTTTTCTGTAAATTTCGACTTTGTCATAGTAATACTGTGGTACCACTATGGTAATTCGGAAATCAATGGCAAAAATCGAAATATGCAAAAAAATTGCAACACTATATATTTTCGAGTTAGATATATGTGGGGCGATGACCGAACTTAAGCATTGTTATGTGTTACTGATATAAAACATAAAAAGAATAATTAAAATTAATTTTTACATTTTCAAACTTTAAACTTCACTTTTTATTAAAAATAAAGAACAATGAGGAAATTATCCTCTTAATTTAATTACTTTTTAATTATTTTTTCTATACAAATAGAGATACGGAGAAGAGAAGGAACATTTTCTGTACGTTATGTGAAAAATATTTAGCCAGCTGTGAATGTGTTATCGCACAAAGGCTTGCATTTACTGGCACATACTGAAAACTCTCGTTTAAATATTATCTAAGTAATTATGCACGTACGGTTTGATTTTTGGTGTTTCTATTTTCATCAAGTTTGTCTTCGTCACAATATACAGCCACTACTTGCGCTTTCCCACGAATATAAGATCGCTTACATACGTGACCGTATACACCTAAGTGCAACTAGTTCTTCTGATTGCGGATGTGTCATTAGTGTCACTGTCACTGAAATACCTCAGAAATTCTCACGTTTGTTCACCACGCGTGATGTTCACTGGCTCCGTGTCGCTCCGACAAAAAAAAAATGTAGTTTTTCCGAAATATTTCAAATATTCCATCGCGCTTATCTCTTGGCTCGTAATCATCTTTTTTTTGCCAGCGTAACGGAGCCTCGCGGTTATTTCGAGTGACTCGTCGACGTGCTCGCTAAGTGCGACAGCGATTTATCTTCCCTCCATTATTCGTTCGTAAATCAGTCTGCAGGCTGTCGTTACGTGTGCCTTTCAAACACGAACTTGACCCATCGCTTAAGATTAATCTTCAATCGATTTGAATAGTTCTGTTATACCGTATAGTTTGACATAAAGGGAGTTTATCAGAATTACCTATACAAATTAAGTGATATTCTAGCTCTCGTAACAAAGACTAAATCTATATTCAAACTTATTTCGGTACTATTTCGTATCCGGTATCGTTTCAAGTATCATGAATTATTCTTCTAACGCGTCACTATGCCAATGAGTCGTGCTGGAATTGTCAAGAAAGTATGCCACTCTGAGAAATCGTTGTTGGAAAACCTGGTATCTACTGAATCAGAGGACAGTATGGAAATTGTGTAAAATTCGTCGTTATTACGTTGCCTCAGAATTGCTCCAATGTCGTCGGTATACATTTTCTGTTAGAGAGAAATATAGAATATACAGAGTACTATAAGGTGTAACCAAAATATCGAGCAATTTATAACGTTAACACAAGTCCAGAAATGTTAGTCTCTGAAATATTAGAGTTTAAAATCCACAAAGCATCGTTGAATCCTATTATTAACAGCAATTCTCTACCGACATTTCGGCCAATGTTATTTGAGGGCCTCATGCACTTCCACCCAAGTTTTCAAGATAGACACACAGAGCTTAAAACAATTTTTAGTTGACTACTTGGATAAGTGAGCAAATTGCGGTAACTTGTGAGACGATTCGCGTATCAGAAATAGTCACACGCGTGGGTGTCGCTAAGGCGGCTCATAAATAAGGTTTGTCTCGGAACTTTAAAAGGATGAATTCGATAAAAATGCTCTGTAATACTGTATCTCTATAAGCCATGCAGCACTACAGAGCAAGAGAGAAAGAGCGAGAAGAAGGAAGAGCTAAAGAGTTACAGAGCTTCGGAGTTTGTAGAGCGAGAATCTTCTTACAGAATATAAGGATAAAGGCGAACATGATTAACAATTAATTAAAATTTCTTTAATTAATAAACACGGCGTTTTAATTTGTATATAACACACGCGCCCGCGTGTATATACACTTCGCTGTGTCCACGCCCGAAATTAATCCGCATAATTCGATCGAGTCTGAAATCGTCGCTTGAAACAATAAAACAGATTTCTTTTAAAGTAAGACACATGCGTTTAACATTAATTCAATAACGCGTTTCACTAGCATAGTGACATCATAATGCTCTATTGTTTTAAGGATATCTTAACGATTACGGAGTACTTTACTCACATCCACATGTAGCATCATAGACTCGTGAGAGAAAACGATTAGTGCAACTGTATTATGATGTTCAGTAGCATTCTTATGTAAGAGGATTGGAACAAAGAACAATTTCAAATGTTCCAAACGCGGACAATCTTATTGAACTCTCTATCTCTCTTCGCTCCTCCTCTCTTCTTTCTCTCTTTCTTTCTCTGATAATAGAAGTCATTTATCCCATCCGTAGCATCAATTTTAACACCGACCGGTAGACCACCGCGCCGCAACATGACTCGAAGCTGCCATCGGGGGAGATTTGCTAAAAATCACACTCCACACCGCCCTCGCACTACTCTTTCTCTCTCGCTCCGTCTCTCTTTATCTCGCGGTCTCTCATCCCACCGCCTCGCGCGAACATTCAATACCATACATTACAGCCACCGTGAAAATTGTCAGTTAAAACCATCGGCACTGTTTCTCCCCATTCCCGGGCCCCCTTCCCCTTGGAGATTCCCTCCCGGTAATATCTCCCTTGGCGCGAGATTTTTTTTCCAACGGCACGGCCGCTGGAACACGAGCCCCTCTGGGTGCAACCGAGAGGTTGGCAAAAACGCGCGTTTCAGAGCCGCGAGTGGCATTCACCGGGCGGCTTTCAAGAGCCGACTGCCAACCCGCGAATGCCCCGAGGTGCACGTGTGCACGTCGCCTCTCTCGGCCGCCTCTCCAGCCGAGTCCTCGTCTTCTTCCTCGCGCGCGGCGCGGCGCGGCGCGGCGGGGCCGCCGACACGCCATGGCGCACCATAAACTCGCGTTCGGCCTGACGAGAGAGAGACCACGGCTCGTAGCTTCAGACTGTGGGTCAAGTCGCGACCTACGGCGCGCTAACGTATCGTGGGCCCGTCCGCTTCTCGAATACTTTGAAATCCAGGGGACCAGCGCGGACCCGCCTCACTGGGTCAGGTTCAATCGCCTTCGGCGAACGCGAGTCTCAATTTAGGACGCGCCATCGGTCATTGTTAGCTTTACACATTCCTGCGGCTTGCCGTGCCGATCGAGTCTCCGGTTCTGCAAAATTGTCGCCCGCACACTTCGTCCAAATACGGTTACTGACTGCGAGGCGATTTTTTTTAAATGTTGATTTTACTGAAGATTAGTTGAATCTGCACATTAGCCAATAACAAGTTGCTTCGCTGCGAGATGTAATTGAAATGTGCTGCATTTAGCAGTGAATTACACTTGCAACAAATACCTACAAACGAATTGAACGCAGCAAGAATATTTTCGAAACAGGGCAGTAATTTCAGATAATTAATTGCTGTAGCAATTAGGCTCGTCGGAGCAGGTTCGGTCATAGCAAAAATCTTTTTCCCGCCTGATGAAATAACAAAGATATAAACAATAGAGGGAAGAGATTTGATGTAGCAACTTTGTTGAAAGCGACTGGAAGCTATTCAGCAAATTGAGCAACCAGATAGACAATCCATAATTAAAGTTACTTTAAAATAATTCGAAATTTTCAGCGAAGCATGTTTCTTGTAGCAGAAAAAACATTTGACACGTTAATAGTTTTATTGCGAGGAAACATTGATGACTTTGTCATTGCTTTGAAACGCGATTTCTTTATTGCACCACAAATCCATTATTGTTAATCTATTCAGTTGTAAACGTTAAGTCGCTATAGCTCTCTGTTAAAATCAGTTAAGCTTTTCATGGAGCGTAAATCGAATACGTAGAAATGTTAATTATATCTTTCTACGTAGAAATCTTCGTCTTTATCTTTATTTTACCTTTGGCGAACATACCAGTGGCGGTTTTTAAATCCAAGCCTGCTTGCACGTAATATGAAACGCACTATGTGGCATCGACCGACCCTTTCTCCGTTGCAAAAAGCGAAATTTATTCCAGCAATGGTTAATTGACGCAATTAGGATGAACATATAGTGACACGTTAATAGTTTTATTGTGAGGAAAAATTGATGACTTTTTCATTTGATAATTGCTTTGAAACGCAATTTCTTTGTTGCACCA